ATTATTATTATTATTATTATTATTATTATTATTATTATTCATAGACTTCAGTCTACTTCCTCAGATGCATTTGCAAATTTCTTTCTTTCAGTTACTCTCAAAGGTGCTACAAGATCTCTCTATGTACTGATTCTACAGACTAACACGGCCATATCTTTGATTTTGTTTTAGGAATTGTATATTTAAATTTTGGCTCCTTATACTGGGGTCCTTGTGTATGAGACAGGCCCATAACAACTGTACATATATTGAACAGTCATGTTAGCCAATTTTTTTTAATTGTGACAGTATGGAAACCAAAACACCTTGTTTTGTATCTTATAATTAATTGAGAGCCAGTGTGGCATAGTGGTTTGAGCATTGGACTAGATCTCTAGAGACCAGGGGTTCGAATCCCGACTTGGCCATAGAAACCCATTGGGTGACCTTGAGCAAGTCGCACTCTCTCAGCCTCAAAGGATGGCTATGGCAAATCCTTTCTGAGGAAATCTGTCCAAGAAAATCCCATGATAGTTTCATCGCCTTAGGGTCACCCTAAGTCAGAAATGATTTGAAGACACACAACAGCTTTGAATTGATCTGGGAGAGAAGCGGAGTGGGGGGTAGCTTCTTCTTATTTTCTAAGTACATAGAAAAGCACCTCAGTGTGTAGGAGAAGTGGGGAAAATGCCCCTGAGTCTTTTGCTTTTGGATATGATGATAATTAGGCAGGCACACAAAAAAAGTTCACAAATTCTACCCTCATCCCTGGGTGGGAACAAATATAGATTACATCAAATCTGTATAGGTTTAATAGTGCATGTTTATGAACTTCTAAATCCAGATTGGTTAATCAGATCTTGACAAGAGCGAGGTGGGATATTTTGTGAGATGATCTGTTTGTTGTCGTTGTTCACCCTGAATGCTTTGTTTTATTTACAACTAAGTAAAAATGAAGATATTTCTTGTTGTTTATAATTCAAGAAATTCAGATAAGAAGACCTTTTAGTACAACAGTTCCCATATTCCACATTCACTGATAGACTAGTGATTATATTCATTTGCCTATGTGAGACTTGAAAGACAGTGTTCAAAATGACCTATGCTTGAAAGTGTTTTCAGGAAAGCTTATTGAGGATTCATTCAAAAGTACCCAGCAAAATAAACTTCATGAAAGTTAGTTTATCTTCACAAAAAACCATGGAGGACTAAGTCAACCCTGATGGGATCTGAGGTTCCAACCAATCAAGGTATTTAAAAACTGATGCTTAGGTTCCTAAGCCATCCCCTGAAGCTTTCCGTGCTGCATAAGATATGAAGAAATCTCCAGTCCTGCAAACAGATATTAAATTGGATACTCTTTCACACTGCCTTGATAAGGTACAGCACAGGGAGAGAAATGGAAAGCTCCTGTCGAAAAAAATGTATTTGAATCTACCATAAAAATAGTTAAGATAGGAGGATTTTCAGCACTGGTTGCAATAACTTTATTGATGTGTTACTGAAAGTGTAACTCTTCCTTTGGTTTATACATATTTTTAAACAGAGTATTTTGTGTACTACTGTGAGGGCTCTCCTGTCAATACTATTATTGTGCAAGTATGTAGAACTTCACCATACAGCAACCAGGTTTTGTAATATGGCTTAGTGTGTGGAATTTTCCCATGCACAATGTGGAACATTTCCATGACAGTATTACATATTCTTGGTGGTACCGAAATGCCTGGGACAATGAAGAAGAATGAGAGAGACCTTTTTATTCAGTTTATTATTCCTTTTACATAGAAAACATTTTAAATAGTTAACTTTTAAAACAAAAGTGAGTAATTTAAAATAAAACAAAAAATTAAGAAATACTATCACAAAACCAATTGGTACATGGAAAAGATGTTTGAATCCCATTGTGGGAGAAAGTAGGATATAAATCCTTTAAATAAATAAATAAATAAATAAATAAATGTAAGTCTGAAACATTCCTGGCAAATCTAATTTAGTTGCAGGCAAAGTTTTGCAATGACAGAGGTTGGAATAGCACTACGTTTGATATACCAGAGGCTTCATCCAAATGTGGTGCTTGATCTTTCTGAGTGAAGTGATGGCCACTGGAAACCTAGGCATGTTTGCACCTACAGACCCCTGGGGAAAGGGTTTACCTGCTCTGTGACTGTATGGTTGGACTGCCCTACATCAGGGAGAGCAGGGACAACCCTGTAACTCTTGCCTCTTGCAGTATTTCTCACTGCCATCAAACTATGTCAGTTGCAAACATATGCACTGGTGAGGAAATCCACCTGTTGACTGATGATGTTACTGAAACACCACCACATTTAAATTAAATATTGTATATACTCAACTATAAGTCTACCTCATGTATAAGTTGAGTGCAAGTTTTGGGTCCAAAATTATGGATTTTGATATGGCCAGTGGATAAGTCAAAGGTAAAACCTAGGGCCATATTGGCAAATCTATGGTATGCAAAGCCACTTTGGATGGCACACGGAGAGACGGGAGGGCAGGGGAAAAGGAGGAACAAGCACATGCCTTCTTCTCCTCTTCCTCTGCCCTTCAACTTCAACTGCTTCAACTGCCACTCCAGAGACAATTAAAGGCACAGGAGGGTGGGGAAGAGAAGGAACAGATGTGAGCCTCTACCTCCTCTTCCTCACGCCTTCCTGTGCCTTCAACTGCCTTTCCAGAGAGCAGGGGGAGTGGAGAAGAGGAGACACACATGTTCCTCTTCTTCCCCGCCATCCCAGGCCTTCAGCTATCTCTTGAGAGGCATCGTGAGGGCCTGGGCAGGGGGAAGAGGAAGTCCCACCCCATGGAAGGTAGAAGTCCCACCCCTGAAAGTCCCACCCCTGGCACCAGGTAACACCCAGTGCCAAAACATCTTTAAGTTTGGGGACTTGGTCTCTAAAACATTTGCCATCACTGACCTAGGATATAAAGGATGAAGAAAAGGAAAATTATGCCAAAGAATATACAAAATTCCAGCAGGTAAAACTCATATCCTTATATGAAAGCTGGATGGATGAGAGCATAGAAGGGGGTTAGTGCTTCCAGGGCAGATTACACTCTTGCTTTTCACGAGGGGAAGGTTCCTTTTTTAAAATGAGAGTTAAAGTACACTACTTACATTGGCCCCGTGGATAAGTTGACTCAGGTTTTTGGGATCGATTTTTTTTTACTATAATTTCTAGACTTATACAAGAGTATATACAGTAAATATAACAAATATTGTTAGAACTGGTGCATGTAATTATGGTCCTTTTTGTGTAAATCTCAAGTTTGAAGCATTTAGGTTTGAAAGTTTTGGACCTATTGCTCTGAAACCAGCTCACATGTACACACAACTGTAGATGGTATTCACAATCGTCTCTCCTTCAGTAAGTGCTACGGGTGAACAGATAGTGCTTTGGATGGAGACGGCTTCATTTGTTATTTTCCTGAATAAGAAACAACAGGAATGTCATCGCAGCCTTAGAACAGTTGAACATAAGAAGAGAGCAGAAAACTGTGCAAAGATTGCCTTGAACTTTGCTTATGAGTCTGTTACTAATATCTGTCTGTCTGTCTTGAGCCTTCCTAGATCGGCTGTGTCTTCTGTAGAGATAATTCTAATAAGAAGCTCTATTAACCTATTTTTCTCAATAGACACTTTTAAATTAGTTTAATTCAGACAACACACAGGAATATGGATTACTATAACATTATGCAAGGGGCTGCCTTTGAAAAGTGATTGGAAACTTCAGCTAGTCCAAAATGTTGTGATCAGAGTGTTGCCTGGGAATAGTTACAAGAGTCATGGCATTATTTCCACTGATTTTTAGTTGTATAAAGCCCTGTACAACTTTGATCTACTCATTTGAAAAGCCACATTCTTTTGGTGCTTGCCCAGGGTTTTAGAAGGGTTGGCACAAGGGAGTCCGGGGGCTGCATGTGGCCCTTGAGACTAGGCTCCCAGAAGCCCCCGAAAGCTACCAGACTAATAAAAAAAATTAAATAAAAAAAAACTAATAACAAAAGGTACATTTCCAACCAGTTTGAGGGCTTTTTTTTTTTGGCCCCTAAACCATCCAAAATGTGCCCAAATCATGGTGGTTTGCTTCCCCCAGTATTTCAAAGCCCTCCTCCCAACCTCTCTAAAACACAAAATAAATCTTAAAAAATTCCATGAAAATCAGGAAAATTGAATTGCGTCACTTGTAGTATGCTGAAATAGCTGTTGTGTGGCTTGCTTGGCAGGTGTATGGTGGAAAATCGGCCCTGACTCCTGCACAGTTGCCTATTCCTGCTTAGAATAGGCCCTTTTTCTGCTGCCACCATCAGAGACCTTAAGCAGGAATGTGGCAGAGGGGCTTTTCAGTGGTTGCCCCCAGACTCTGGGATACTCTGCACAGGGATGTCAGAGAAATCTTATAATCCTATTTCTTGCCTTTCTGTCAGCCCACCAAAACTTTTATTATGCAGATCAGCTTTTAACTTTGAAGTTCATTTGTTTGCAGAAGTAGTTTTTTAATTGGTTGGGAACTATTATTTCTAACTCATCTCTCCCCACCTCCATGTTTTTATTATATTTAATTCAGGATTTTTGATTACAGCTTTGTATGTATTTACTATTTTTATTGATAGGTCCCCTGAGCACTATCTGAAGTGGAAAGGATGTGTGTGTGTGTGTGTGTGTGTGTGTGTGAGAGAGAGAGAGAGAGAGAGAGAGAATGAGAGAGAGAGAGAAAATAAATGGAGAGTTATGTGAAATGTGCAAATTTATATCAAGGAAGACTGCAGACAACTCTAATAGTAACTTTTTAAAACCTCTGAGAGTTGTTCAAAACCTCTTGAAATACAGTCCCGCTTTAGATATTTTGGAGTCCACTTATTATATTAACTTTAGAAGGCATGTGCTTTGTCAGGAGTCATCTGTGTTTGGAGATAAATAGAAATAGCACCAGTCCTGAGCACATAAAATAATAATAGCACATAATTATTATTATAATTAATATAATAATTAATATAAAATAAAAACCCAATAAAATAATTGTGCGTGTGCATGCGTGTGCACACACACACACACTGATAAACACACAGCAGCATGGTGTAAATCAGATTTTCATAGAATCATAGAATCATAGAGTTGGAAGAGACCACAAGG